AGATTGAAAGAATTGGGTATGTTCAGTTGCAAGAAGAGAAGACTGAGTGGAGATATGATAGTAATGAGCAAATGAACAGGTATGAAAAATTATGCAATTATAGGCTGTAGCTAGATATTACAAAACCGGAGAAATCTTTGCTTTTAGAAAGCAACATAATGTGAGTTTCCTTATATTTAAATTGACTCAGCACCATCTAAAAAGCAGATCAGTTCACACTTGCCAGATAACAACCATAACAAAGAACTGTTTGACACATTCTTCCTACTCTCCAGAGTAGCACCGCTTCCTTCTCTCATATCCTGGAACTTTCCCTCCCTCCCTCCTCTGAGAACATCTTTTCTCTGCTTGATATGTGGGAGGGAAAAGTAACACTGTTGCAGCTGTAGTTTTGCAGCCTATTAGAATGTGCTAACTGTGGCTGCATGTAACCCTTTAATGGCCTAATGTATAAAAAGGCATGCTGTGTAAGGTTCCATGTGTGGCATACTAGAATGATTTGTTGGAGCCATGTTATTCTTGAGAAGAATACTTTAAAAATAAAACCTGCCCTGATATAGGATTTTGGGCAGCACACGCCAGGACATGAACCCAGTTCAGGTAAAAATAGCACTCTACAAGTTCTTAAAAGGCTGTCACAAAGAAGGACAGGGTCTCTTTTCCATCATCCCAGGGTACAAGACACAGATGATGGAAGAAGACACAGAGTGAATAATAGGCTCAAATTGCAGGAAGCCGGGTTCCAGCTGAACATCAGGAAGAACTTTCTGACTGTTAGAGCAGTATGACAATGGAACCATTCACTTAGGGAGGTTGTAGGCTCTCCTATGCTAGAGGGCATTCAAGATGCAATTGAACAGCCATCTGAGAGGGATGGCTGGAGTCCTGCACTGACCAGGGTGTTGGACCTGATGACACTCTGATCCCTTTCAACTCATCTTCAAGGGAACAATTTTGTGGCCACAAGATTCAACACTCTCTTGGAAGCCACAGGATTAATTGTAGTCCCATTTCCAAGATCCTCTGTGGTCCTCCTGTTACGGAGCTGTGACTCCAGTTGCAGATCCTGATCCAATTGCAGAGCCTGATCATGGAAAAATCCATGATGGCTGGATCTCCAACATAAGTCAACTTCACAAGGGCTGAGAACAGCTTTCTAGTTGAAATATGGCTGTCAGATCGTTCTCTGAAGTCCTCTTCCAAATACCCCCCACCATGAGATCAAGGGGGAAAGTGCTAAGAGGAGAGCAGTGGTGTCCAGACTCTGGAATTCACTCCCCAGGGACACATGGCTGGCACTGACTTTGCTTTCCTTTAGATGTCAAGTTTAAAAAAATGTTCAAACAAGCTTTTGGTTAGTGTAATTTATACTTTGTTATTATTTATTTAATTTTGGCTGTTAATTTATTGGTTGTATTTGGTTATGTTGTGTATGGTTTTATATTTTTTATATTATTTTTATTATGTGACATGGTTTAATAATTTACCAATTTTATTGTTTTTATCTGTTTTATCCATTTTATTGGTTGTATTTATATGCTGCTTTCAGCATTTGTAAGCTGCCCAGAGAAACCTTGGATTATGGGATGGCATAGAAGTGGAATGAAATAAATAAATAAAATACAGGGCACAAGTGTAGAGTGGCACAAATTGCTGTCACTACACATTACACCCTGCAATAGATGTATGCAAAGCCTCTGTGTTTGGAGGTTTACATGCAATGAGCAAAGGTAACATAGGGTTGTGCCCTTCATGTAGGGGTTTGATACCTAAATATGTAGGATTTTCTAAATTCACTTACATTAGACCTCTATTCCACTTTTTCTTACAATGAACTCAAAATTCTCCCACTCCTCCTCTCAACCTTATCCTCACAACAATAACATTGTGAGGTAGTTTGGCCTGAGATTCTGTGACTGGCCCAAGGTCACCCAGTTGGCTCCATGACCAAGCAGGGACCAGAACCCAGATTTCCTAATTCCTAGTCCCACACTCTTAACCACTACACCACACTGGCTCTCAGAAAATGATTGAATGTTTTTCTTAAAATTATCAAGCATCTTTAACTTGTCTATCTAGATCACATTTCTTGTTTCTTTTAGCCAGTTCTTCAGATCTGTAGTTAATGCTGAATTCCATTTTTTGGCATTTCCTTCTAAGCTGACTATCAATTAATTGTTTATTAATTAAATTAACAACATATTTTCCAAACATTAAAAGACAGATGCTGACTATGGAAGAGTGAAAATAATCTTTAGTAATATACTTTCCCAATAATAGCAAGGATGTTGATCAAAGACATAAACAAGTAATGGCATTACAACATTACACCTGAACATCTTTTACCTGAAGTACCAGAGACTGTGCCTATATCATGCATTCAAAGTATAGTACTCAAATAGTTTATCATATTCTGTTGTCCTGAGTCCAACTGAGCATGTGCAGAATTTCTTCCTTCATGCAAAATGTATTTTTGAAAAGAAGTACAAAGCAGGGCTAAATATACCAACAGGCACAGGTGCCTCAGGCAGCAGCAAAAATGTTGGAGGAGAGAGCTACTTGCCACACAGCATGCCCTGTACCCACTAACACGGGCTGTTGCTATCAGGTGCAGTAGAGGACACTGTCACACAGCCATTTAACTGCTACTCCAGTTGGCTGCACATGGAATCAGAGGGGGTGCCATCATGTTCTTCACCTCAGGCAAAATGATCTTCCAAAAAAAAAGAAAAGAAAAGAGTGCTCCTTTATCAGGTTGGAAACTTGCGCAGAACTGCCCAGGTATAAACATTAAGATGAAAATGACCAACTTTTCACATTAGAAATCAAATTCAGCCCTAAAGCTGTGAAGAGGGAAGATCAACGTCCCAACATCTGATGCCTTCCTTTAAAAGTCACCTCCATGAGTGGATCATTTGGTGACAACAAAGAGGATCGTCTCAGTGGTAGCCTCCCAGGTATGGAACAAGCACCCAAGTGAAGCCACTTGCTATCACTCCTGCACCAGGTCAAGACTGTCCTCTGTGCCTAGGCATTTAACAGCATGGGAGGAAGGGGCTTATGTCTGCAGTGGTCTAGTTTATTCAATTTATTGAATGTGCTTAACTGTTCAAATGGTTTTTCATTTCTATTGTTAAGGGTTTTTTAAATTGAGTTTATGGTCTTTCTATCACATTTGTACTGTATTTTATTTTATGCATTCTTATTAACCTCCCAGACAGCTTCAACTAATGGGTAGCATAAAATTGAAATAAAATGATGCTGCGCAATAAAGTTGCTTGATAAGGCCCTTCTAATGGTCTACAAAATTGTACATCTGAAGGGACAGAGCAGGGAAATTTTTAGGGTATAATCATCTCGTTTTTTATTTATTTTGTGTAATCTTTATTTCAGTTTTAGTCAGTGTGGTTTGTAGCAACCGTGTTATAGATATAAGAAGGCAGGTTATAAATATTTTAAAATAAGTATTGTCTTCCCCGTGGATTTAACGTGAGGTAGGGCGGGGCCGAACATCGAGTGGCATCTTAAAATTGAGCTTTTCTTTATATTGCTGTTGCTGCTTGTTTGGAGAAGCGAAAAGCAAATTAAGCTCGGTGCCTTTGACACTTCCTCCTGCAAATGCCGAAAGAAGGCAGAAGAGAGGAAGGCCGCGAGGAAGGGGCGCCGAAGGGGAGAAAACGGGGAAAGGGGTACATGCTTGAGCAGAATGAAGGTAATGCTTACCGTGGGGCTGAGCCAAGCTCGACAGCAGGAGGGCGACAAGCGCCCCCGCTAGGTAGGAGGTCGAGTTATCCCCGCGCCCCCGTCCCACCATCTCGGCTGCCTCTGTCTCTCCCTTATTCGCTCGCAGAGGAAGGACGCAACCAGTGCTTGCTTGCCGCCCTCCCGCAGGAGGAGGCGGGGACAGCGGCTTCCTGCTGCCTTGCCATCCAAAAATTACGGAAAACATTGCGGAGCTCATCGCTACGTGCTAGACCTCCCACAGGAGGTGCAAGGTCGATGGTATGAACCGAATATGTTTGAGGAAAAATGTGAAATAGGGGCCAAAGAAAAGTGTAATGACAAGGTTGAGTTATGCATCTTTCTATCATTATCTCCAGCTATGCATTTTTCCATGATGGGCTTCTAATCTCGCCATTTTCTTCTTTCATTTTAAATAATTGACGTCTTACGGGTTAAAGGTGCAACATTTCCAATAAACCCTAATTAGATCGAAACTTTTAAAAGAAAACTTTATTTCAAAAAGTATTTGATGCTTCTTTCTCCTATACTAGTCAGCCTGTCTGCTCCATTGAACAGTCCACAGGATGATTTTTTCCCCTGTCTTTCTTTTGCTTCTGTCCTATAGGTGAACTGTCAAGGCACGCTGCGCCAAGATCACCAGACAATCGCTACGTTAGTGCTGCGGATGTTGCAGCCGAGTTTCAAATTAGCAGGATCGGGGAAGAGAATGATGCGGAGCACTTAGGTAAACATTAGCTGGTTGCGCTGTCGTTGCCACATGAAAACAAATTCAAACTCAGAAAAGCAATTCAGTTTTGACAGGGGCAGGAAGGAAAGCTCCGCTCTTCAGCCAGCCTTCTCCTGTGCTCATGCTGAGAGGAGCAAGTGAAGAAGAGGAGTAGGATGGTTGTCAGCTCTAGTCTCGAAAAACTCACATGCTGCCTCCCGCCCTTCCGGCGGAGGGAAAAAGAACGGGAGAAGGGACGGCTACGATGGTGAGCTGGACGGTTCAGACCTGTGGACTGAGTAGAATAGGATATTAAATGTGCTAAGTACCGGATAGTGTGGAACTTCTACTGAAATTCCACTTATATTTCACAGCGTTATAGCAATGATACCACACGACGTTATCTTGTGGAAACATCCTTAGATTGTCCGTTGCTTGCACATCATTTACATCTCAAATTACAGTGATGCGGCAACATAACTCCAAAATGACGGTAGTGCATGTGACAATTAGCAGGTTTTATGATAACCACATTTCAGATGAGAGCGATCCTGGTAGAGACAACTCTAATAAAGTCGTAAAAAAGTGTCACTTTTCCAGCAAAACACAACTCTCCTGCTAAATAACACACCATTGCAAAGTTAGCACGATGCAGACACGTTCTTGTTTGTATGAAACGAATTAGCAAGTCAGACGTGTTTACCTCTGAATGAATTTGTCTCTACGTGTAAATATAACTGCTCATGTGGCTCAGAGCGAGCGATGCTGGGATTGTGTCATGGCTGCCCCTTGAAGTTCCGAATGGTAAGGGCAGAAAATGCAAGGGGTGAAGCAAAGTGGTGGCTGGGAATTATGGGAGTTGTGGTCCTACGTATCTGGAGGGCGCCAGGTTGGGGAGGACTGTCGTGGTCCCGCGGAGAAGTAAACGGTAGCTGTAAAAAAAATGGGTATGGACGTCTCTACGTGTGACAGGCTTTTGTTTCTGCGTGATCAGATTTGGGTTGCAAACTTATAGGGAGTGATTCTCGATCTTTTTCTTCTGGCAGGATCTGTCTCTTCCTACCGAAACTCCGTTTGTTTGGGTCATTAAAAAGATATGTGGGCCGGTATTGGGCATATTTATTTGGAAGTAAAATCTGTTATAGTCACTGGGACTTGCATAAGACTGCAGCCTTATTTGGTAAAGTATCTCCAAGAGAACGTGTTCCTGCAACCTACGATATGGATGGAAATTTCTAGATTTAAGCAAATGTGTTGTTGCCAAAAATCAGGAATCAAAAATTTAGAGATCATATTCTCCATTATTTAATGTTTATTTGGCTTTCAGTTTCAATTTCATTGGCTGAAATTTAGTGCGAGCTCCTTGGCAAAGCATTAGGCTGCCTGGATATGCGAATTTGTTGGCAAATTGAGCTGAAAAGCTATTTCAAAAATTGCAACACAGCAGATATTTTTGCAGGAAAAAAGACTTTATTAACTTCCTGCATTCCCTAGCCACCATCCTAAATTGCATGAATGCTCTGGGTTAAATCTCAAAATACACATTGTGTGACACTATAAATGTAACTATTGTAGTGCTAAGGATACTTTTTTCCTTAAAACGCTGCTCAAATATTGTATTTTTTTCTTTTTTCAGTGGTGCTGTTTGGTTGATTTTGTATTGCACAATAAAAATAAATAAAAATTACACATTGTATGTAAGTGGAGAATTAAGGAGACAACAAAACAGCCTGTTTATAGGTTTAAATGGGAAAGTAAAAAGTGATGCGTAAAAATAATTTGAAATGTTTGGCTTCATTATATTGTGAATTAAACCTATTGTACATTAAACATTAGCACATTGAAAGATTATGTGATGTATTAGAAAATTTTGAAATTTGATCAATGTGATTTAATTTTTAACTTGTTTTTATTGGCATTTGAACATTTTGGGTATGCCTTTTATGAAATTACTGGTTCTGTTAAGCAGGCACATTTTTATTAGTTTATTATTTTATTGTTTTAATGTTTTACTGTAACTGTGATTTGTGTTTTTAGATTGTATTACATGGTTTTATTGTTGTAACCTGCCCAGAGAGCCATATGGCTAATGGGGAAGATTAGAAATATAATAAATACTCTGAAGTATAGTTTATATACAATTTAACAAAGAAAAATAGAATGCAATCCTATGTATAGCTGACTGGAGTATGGTAAGAGTTGTAGGACAACTTGAGTTTGCTGGGAAGTTTGCAGCCCTCCCTTAAGTTTGCTAGGAAGGTTGCAGCCCTTAAGTTTGCAGCCCTTCCTTAAGTTTGCTAGGAAGGTTGCAGTCCTATTGAAACTTTACTTGACACATGAACTCAATGGACTGTTAGAGCAGACATTTATACAAATTCTGTGTTGGCTTCTATTGAATTGACTTTAAAAGCTCTGGATGTTGACTGGATTGTACCTAAAAAGAGTAAATGTACTTATGGATATCAGCAGATATACAAATAGTTTAGCTGGCCTTGGTAGGTGAACAAAAATGGACACCGGGAGAGTGTAACAGATCAGTAGTATAAAGTCAGAACAGCATATTGAGCTTTTCTGCATAATACATTTATTGTGCATTTGTGATTCCTTAAGTTTGTTTACAGGTTCTTTACACAACATTGTGATCATCATGTTGTGCTTCTGTTTTTGTTTGTTTTGTGTTTTGTTTTTTGAAGAGCACTTTCCAGTTTTGCTTTTAGAACAGGGAGAATGGGTATTTTTTATAACACAGAAAATGGTGGTGTTTCTTCTTCTGAGCTATTCTGCCATAGCATAGTTTCACCTAGAAATTACCTAGTGGAAAAGCTGGAAAGGAAAAGCACGTGAATCTCAATTCTTTGATCAAATCAAAATAGATATAACGTGTAGAAAAGATAGCTACCTCCAAGATGAAGGATCATTTCTGCAATCTGCTCTTCAGCCCTGCTATCTAGCTTGGATCTAGAAACAGCAGTAGAGCTTATTCCTATTAATCAGCTCTCCTTGAAAGTGCCCAGAGCACCTCAGAACCCCAATGCAATTATGGGGAGATCCTGTCTCACTTTCTCCAGGTTCAAGCTGGAAAGGAGAGCTCAGACTTACTGGTGCTGGTCTTCCAGGAAACTTATACTACCTCTGAAGTGCAGTTTTAACAGTCTTTGCTTCCTCCCAAGTTCCAAGATTATAATGCAGGCTGGGGTTCAACTGCTCATGTTCTTAAGAGAATAAATTGAACACTCAGTCCAGCAAATGGAACGTGGACCCTTAGTTTTTGGAAGTGTTTTTCATCCAGCTGCCACAACTATATATTTTGTCAGTCAGTATTAACATCAGTCTTGTTGATTGTGCTACTTGTAAAGGAAAGCATGAGAAGCAAGTTTCCCCACAATGGAACACCACTGTCTCTTGCTTGTCCTGGATGCAATCCCACCAATTAAGCATGTCTTTCTGTGAGAGTTCTATGCTCTGTTTATTGATTTGTTTTCTACCTTTCTCCTGTTGTGGAACTTAAGGTGGTACATGCAATTCCCATGTGGTCTCCCCTCCAAGCTCAGGCCAGCCCCAGACCTGCTTAGCTTTAACATGGTGGATGCCTTACGTGCCTTTATTCATTTCACTAACTTAATACATTTTAGAATGTTATCACAAGTACATTCTGAATGTTCTTTCTTAAGTACTATCTGTATGTGTATCCTTTGGGATTTTCTGCCACAGTGCAATTTTCTGAAAACAGGTGCTTTTGAAATTACTAGGTATTTGGGTCCAAACAGTAGTTGAACTTAATGCCAATTAGTGAAATAGCTGGACAAATTGTAACTGAATAAGAAGGACCACTGTATGCATTCCTTCCTTGTGTTACAGTGATGTTTGCTGGATCATGCTCTATTGTCATGAAACCACAAGTTAGTTGAATTATTCATCTTTCAGTAGTCATATGTTTCAAGTTCAGTGCATTGCTACATAAAGACAGACAACCTTGACAGTGTTATAAAAACTCTCTAATAATATCTAAATCATTGTTATTCAAACTCTCAAGAATTATATTTGTAATGCTTGTGTCTTACAGAAAATCTAAAAGATGATCATTGCAACATGAAGAAGAAATCCTATGACATTAAAAGTGGTATTATGCAAAAGTTGACTCCTCCAGTCTTATTTCTGCTTCTGGTTGTGCTGCTAGTAAACTTGGTCCTCTATCAATTCTTCAGTAATGTATATTTTTCGTATGATCAGGCCAATATTGAACCCAATTCTTGTTCACATGGATACTTCAGATTAGGAATCTTGAAGAACTGTTTACCATGGTTGTCCTGTGAGGCCATGAAGAGAGAAGTTCGCAAACTGAAACTTGTTGGCGAAGGAGCTGTGAAAAGGGTTGGTTTGCCATCATGCATCTTGAAAATAATAAAGATGTTCTGGAAATTCACCATTCACTCTTTCTGACTTGGTAACAACTCCATTCTTATCAGAGGCGGTGTGGTTGTCTTCATCAGTCTTCCAAAATAGTTTCGAATGATATAATGACTTCTTATAGTACTGATTCATGTATTGGTTTCAGTGAATGGCTAAAATCAGGAAGCTTTGTTAGTCTTTGGTCTGTCCATTTAACTCAGTATGGTTTGCCCTAACTGCCTTTCCAGAGCTACAGATGGGAGGGGTTTTTAAAAAAATGTATCCTGTTTCAGACACTTATTACATAGCTTGCGGTGTTGTGACTTGTTTTTATATCAGGGATCAATGCCGATTGCAGGTACCAGCATCTATTAAATTTAGTTAACAGTGTGAACTGGGCTTGTTAAATGGAACTATTCAGCCCCAAATTAGAAAACAAAATGCATATTTTTACAAATCTAATTAATTATGAAAGCCCTATGACAGGGGTCCTCAAACTTTTTAAACAGGGGGCCAGTTCACTGTCCCTCAGACTGTTGTGGGTGTGGACTATAATTTGACAAAAAAATGAATGAATTTCTATGCACACTACACATTAAAAAGTAATTAAATTAAAAAATAATTTAAAAATGTTTGCTCTACTCCCTCGGGCTACAGAAGCCCAAGATGAGGTGGGAAAGAGCTTTCTCTGGGCAAGCCCTGGCTGCCTTGCCAAGCCTGGGGGCAGCCACTTGATGGTGGTGATGGCAGCTTGCCCACTGAAAAGTGCAGCTCCTGCGCCTCCGTCACAAGCCATGGCCGCCTCGCCGAGCCCAAGGGCAGCAGCTCGATGGTGGCAGTGGATTGCCCATTGAAGGGTGCGGCTCCTGCGCCTCCACCGCAAGCCGTGGCTATCTTGTCAAGCCCGGGGGCAGCCACTCAACAGCAGTGGTGGCTTGCCCATTGAAAGGCACGGCTCCCGCACCCCCAGGGACGTGGCTCACCTACTTAAAAATGGATTTAAAAAGTTATATTTTTCTTACCTTCAATCCTTTTTAGTGTCTTCATCTCCTGCCCTCTTCTCTTCTGTTTCCCACTCTGTATTCCTGCTCTGTATATGCATGCTCTGTTCTGTATATGCATGCAGTGGCGGGGGGGGGGGGGGGGGCCGGGGCACGCACAGTTGAGCTTTTACAATTAGGCGTGTGCGCTGGCTCTCTGCTAAGTTTCAAAGAATGCGTGCACCAGCTCAGAGTTTTTGGACTCGCTTGGAGATCATTTTCTCTGAGCGAGTCCAAAAGGTCTGAGGTGGACCAGATAAAGGACCATAGCAGGCTGGATCCGGCCCCTGGGCCATAGTTTGAGGAACCATGCCCTATGACTGATGGTGAACCTTTTAGAGACCGAGGGCCCAAACTGCAACCCAAAACCCACTTATTTATTGCAAAGTGCCAACACTGCAATAAAACCTGAATACTGAGGTTTTAGTTTAGAAAAAACAACTCATACATTCACTTCTTTTGTCTTAAAAGAAAAACACAAAAACAAAGCTTTCAATGATACAGCTTTTTATTGAAAGGTAAATGTTTGCATTTGGCGTGCTTTTGCACAATTAATATGATCTTTGCTGTTGTATACATGATGATAATTTGTCAAACCTTGGCTCAAATATGCCAGGGGGACAGCACAACATTTAAAAAATCTCAGTCACTTAATTAGAACATCTCTTTGCTAAATCTTAGGTATTACATTTCAAATTTCATAAGAAAACTCGAAGCTAAAATGTTGTGTTAATAAAAACAAATGTATTAAAACTCACAGTCAGTCCAAGCAAATACACATATATCCTTGGCAGCGCACTGACCAGCCATGTGAAAGCTCAGACGAGTCACGGCTAATGAGTCGTGGCGTGTGACGTCATCGCCTGGCGCCGCTACTCCTTTCTAAGCATGCGCGTGGCCCATATGTGCACTGTTATCCGATGCTCGGCTGCTAGAGCGATGCTGGGGTGACTTGGCTTGCATGCCAACAGCGAGGGCTCTGCGTGCCCACTGTGGCATACGTGCCATAGGTTCGCCACCACTGCCCTATGAGAATAAGAATGCAGTGAGGTTTTCCAGAGCCCCCAGCCCCTCATGTGAATTCCCTTATCTTTTACTGGGTTTGCAGAGGTATAAGCAGAAATGGCCTAACTGAAAGGTTTTCTTTTTCCTTGATGTTGCAGATGCATACATTCCATCATTCCTTCTGTCAGAAAAAAAGTGGTGGAGAAGGATGAGGATAGCCATTTTAGTCAGAGCAAGCTGAGGACCTTTGTAGAAACTCTGCCCATTTCAGAATACAGATTTTTAGAAAAATGCCAAATTCACATTTCAGACTGGGCTGTTGCAAGCTGTTGAACTTCACCAACATATGCAATTGCAAATATATATCACTTCCACCAACTAGGTTCCCTCCATATATGTTGGACTGCAACTCTCATCAGCCCCAGCCAGCATGGCCAGGGATGGAGTTGTAATCTTAAAATCTGGCAAGCATGAGCTTGGGAAAAGTTGTTTTAGAGTGTAAAATCTGGGGATCTATAGGTATAAGAACCTATTCATTATTTATTGAATGTTTGTCCAGGTCCCTTTACCAAAGAGTGAAAATGCTGTAGACTTCTTCCTTACGAAATTCCTCACATTAGCTTACCGTTTTATTGGATTTGGTTTATTGGACTCTTGTAAAGGTTTCTGAGATAATGGGTGCCGATAATTTTCAGCCCTTCAGTGTGTAATCCCACTGAGATACGTGTAGGCTCACACTCATCCAGTGCCCAGTGGGAGGAGTGGTAGAGATGATTTCTGCTTCTGCTCTCCTGCTGCTTGGCATTTTTGCTAAATGGACATTTTTTATCCATTTGTGATAGTGTCTTGGGGAAGAGAGGTTGGAGTGGCTCCAGGACACCTTGCATCCAGACATTGAAATGACCTCTTTAACCCCTTTCTGTGGTCTCTTTCTTGACATGGAAAACTGTTGCAATTCTTTCCATACCTGCAGCAAGAGGGCAGAAAAAGGAGGCCAGACCGCTAGTTCCCATCACAAGGGTTAGAGTGCTGTCTTCTGCTTGAAACCTGGAATACAAACTATCCCAGGACCCCTCAGACAATAGCTGCAGGCCAAAGGATCTTTCCCTCAGTGCTTTATATAAATGCTGATTTGATTTCCCGTGAGGTTTGATTCTTTTCTGAAACAATTTGGATGCTCAATAGCTGTGTTAGTTCAATTAAACCCAAAACACAGAATAAGTGAGATGATTAAAAGTTAGCAGCTGTATTGTGCCTTTGATGATAAATTTATTTTTATTTATTTTTCGATTTATATTCTGCCTTTTTCCTACAAAGGGCTCAAGGCAGCTTACATCATTCTCCTCCTCCATCTTATCCCCACAACAACAACCCTGTGAGGTAGGTTGGACTGAAAGTCTGTGACTGGCCCAAAGTCACCCAGTTGGCTTCATGGCTGAGAGGGGACTAGAACCCAGATCCTCTGAGTCCCAGTTCCATGCTCTTAACCACTACACCACACTGACTCTAAATAAATTCTCCTTGTTCTTAGGTCTTCCTTTCGGAATGGAAAGAAAATAAGGTTGCTCTTTCCCAGCTAACTAAGCCACAGCTAGAAGAGGATTTTATTCATGGGCTTCAGATGCTGAAATCTCTACAAAGCAAATACGTGGTCAAACTGTTTGGATATTGTGAAGAAGAGTTCATGGTTCTTACAGAATACCATCCATTTGGCTCCTTGAATAATCTGAATGATATACTGAATCTTCCAAAATACAAGAACTCCAACACATGGTATAATAGGTTTTTGCTTGCCATAGATTACGTGAGCATCATCCATTATCTGCACAACAGTCCACTGGGCACTTTTGTGATGTGTGACTCGAGTGATCTGGATAAAGTACTTTCACAATATTTACTGACAAGTAGTTTCCATGTTGTTGTGAATGACTTGGATGCTTTGCCTCTTGTGAACAAAAGTGCTGGTCAGTTGATCAAATGTGGCCATCAGGAGCTGCAGGGCAATTTTGTTGCTCCTGAGCAACTTTGGCCTTATGGAAAAACAACACCTTTTGCAGATAGTCTCATGCCGCCATATGATGAAATGACAGATATCTGGAAAATCCCTGATGTTTCCAACTTTCTCTTGGGAGAAGTTGATGGAAGTGATCTTGTCAGGTTTCACCTGTTTGACATCCATGTGGCATGTAAGAAAAGCCCAGCTGAAAGACCTTCTGCTCAAATGGTTTTGGACACCTACAGGAAAATACTAGCATCACTTGTTCGAGAATCAGTTATGCCAAGGACAAAGGACATGCTGTAAAACATGAACATATTTTGGTATCATAACTAGAGTTGGATATATTTAGCATCTCCTTTTCCTGATATGAAAAATGCATGAGTCTGTTGAAATTTAAATATGAATGGCAAACTCTAAAATGATTTCTTAAAGATGCCTATGATAAATTATACAGAGAATGGGAGAAAAGTGGTATATGATTTGTTTGAAAAGTTGTAGACTTCTGAATAAACCTTTCTTAATCAGTTTGGCATAGCCTCCATCCAGTGATGTGGAGCAGATGATTTCTTAAAGCAGAAAAAATTCCATTTCAAAAGTTTATTAGTAAGAATGAATATTGCAATTGCAATATTAAGCAGGAATGACAGTTTCAAAATTGTAGATAAGTGATTACCAGCATATCATGTATAGTTCTTTAGCTTGCAAAATGTATCACAGTACAATCCCAACAGATGCCTATAACCCTCCAAATTAAGAGGGTTAAGGGCATTCTGTACAGAGCAGGAAGAATGTGAAGAAAAATCTTAATATAGTAGAGTTGGAAGGGGGCAGAAGGGCATTGGGTTCAACCACCTGCTCAATGCAGGACTCCAAGTTAAACCAGCCCTCTCAGATGGCTGTCCAGTTGCATCCTGAACACTTCTAGTGCAGAAGAACCCACAACCTCCCTTCAGCTACTGCTAGTAATGAGGCACTCCCTTTCAGATGCAGCTCACAGGAGCACACTGCCTCTTGGAAGAGACTTGTTTGCTGGGCTAGTGTAAGTCCTTCACCCCTGACTCCTTTGTCTTCTATTCCACTACAACTCTGCTGCCAAAATCCTGTTAGCTCACTCTGATCATTTACTCTCTGGAAGCTTGATTACTTATATCCTAGAGTCCCTAGACCAGCTAGGTTGCTTCTGTATTCCTTCCACTGCAAAGTAGCTAAATGGACAATTTTGATTGCCTAGCTGTTGTGCTTTGGAGTGGGAAGGAAGGTTGAGGCATGAGCAGGTTACATTGTATGTTGGTAGTACCAGTGTCTTTCCCTCCTCACCTGCTAGAATGGCCACTAAACTGCTTCTCCCAAGTGCTTTTATGACCTTGGAGAAGCAACCAGCACGGTTCTTTTCCATGGCAGCTGCAGTGCTGCGGGAAGAAGATCCAAGTGCAGATTTCTAGCTCTCAGGTCAAAATAAGACAACTATCACCCACAGAATACCAGGTACATTACAAAGCTGGGCTTTATGGAAGAGTGGCGAGAAGAATTTCATAGCTGAAACAAATCCACATCAGAACCCATTTGGAGTTTGCAAAAAGGCATGTGGAAGACATGGCAAACATGAGAAAAGTTTTCTGGTCCGATGAGACCAAAATTGAACTTTTTGGCCTTGCTGAAAAACACTGTGTATGGTCCTTCGTGTGCACCCACAAATATACAGTAAAACCTTGGATTGCGAGTAACTTTGTGAGTGTTTTGCAAGACTAGCAAAAAGTTTTTCTAAATTTTAACTTGATAAACGAGCGATGTCTTGCAGTACAAGTATTATGTGCGCTTTGCCTGCCGAGTGTCACATCATAACTGAGCACTGGTTCTTCTCTCTCTCACTGCGGGTGTGAGTACAGCATCATCTCCCCCCTGATTGTGCCCACAGTAGCACCCATCTCCACCCACTGAGCACACCTGCTTCAAATTTTTGTGATAAAAAAAAATTACAGAACAGATTAACCTTATTTACATTGAACCCTATGGGGAAATTTGCTTTGATATACAAGTGCTTTGGATTACAAGCATGTTTCTGGAATGAATTATGTTCGCAATCCAAGGTTTTTCTGTACTTAAAGAAAAAAACTATAAAAAGAAAAATTTACCTTAACCCCACCTCCAGAAACTGTAACCTTACAGAAAAAACTACCCTCCCCCTTTTCCCCCAGAATACCATCATTCTGGGCAGTATCTCCATCTTTGCAGAAAACAGTGGTGAGAAAACACTGGTCCGCCCAACTCTGAATATCTACTTCCCATTCCCTCTATACCCCTATTATCTTAACCTGTCCTTTAAAATATTTTCAATTCTTTAATTCTTTGAATTCTCAATACTATCTTTCCCATTTATACTTCACATATTCAAAATTCATCTAATAAATTTAGCTTATTCAAAGTTAGTACTCTACCTTATTTTTAAATTCTTCTACCTTACTTATACACTAATACTTCTCTTTTAATCTTATATAGTAAACCTTACCCCCAAACATAAAGCAGAGTATAAATTATCTTCTACCTCCTATTAGCTAGAATACCTCTTCTTCAGCTCATTTAATGGTCAAAATCAGAAAAGACCCCCGCACACTGCCCCTTGACACACCTCTTTTCCTTTTCATCCTGGAGAAATTTTTGAATTGCTGTAGGATCTGCTTCTCCATTATCAGAAGCCGAGATTGGAGAAACTACACTGACTACTCCATTTCCCTTTCTTGAAATAAATTCTTGATCATGTCTTCTATTCTGGTCCATCATCTCAATTTCTTGCTTGCACTGCTCTTCATTTATAAGGCCCCATTCATATGCCAATTTTAAACCTTGTTCCAGCGACTCTTCTTCTGTGATGTTTTCCATTATGGAAGACTCTTAAATACCCTGGATATCCCTAAGTATTTTCAGTAATATTCTTCAACAAAATTATCTTGAGTGCTTGCAATGAATGTCTGAACGAAATAGTCTGGAAATATAAATCCTGAAACACTTGAATGGGTGCCTCCTTAAATTTCAGTTGACCCAGATTTTCTCTCATGCTGGATCCTGACTCCTAGCAGAGGAAAGCAGATCAAAGCATGCTGCCCCAGCTGGTCTAGGGCCTCTGGGATATAAGCAGCCAAGTTTCCAGGGAGCGACCAAACAGGAGTTTGGCAGAGGAGGAATTGTAGTGGAAGAGGAGACAGAGGCAGGCGGAGGCAAAGCAGAGACAGGCCTGCCCTATTCCTCCAAAAGTATTTTGTTTTTCTAAGAGACAATTGAAGGGAAGTTCCAGATTATCTGGTTTCTGATTGTTGATTAACTGATGGGGAGTGGCCTGATCAGCTAGCAGTAACTGTGTGGGTGGGATGATTCATTCTGGTTCCTGACTCATAGCACAGCAGAGCAGAGCAAGCTGCCCCAGCTGGTCTAGGGCCTCTGGGATATAGGCAGCCAAGCTCCCAAGGAGTGAGCAACCAGGGAGAGTAAACAGGACTTTGGCAGGGGAGGTCCCTAACATTCCCCCCCCCCTTTGTTTCACTTATTTATTTCACCTTAATCCACCCCCCTGCCTCCTTGCACACACACACTTGTTTTTTTTCCTTGTAACACACTCCCATTTACTAGTAGGACTGTGTTGCTAACCTTTAGTGAAGACAGGAGAAAGTACCAGTTGTCACAACAACCAACCAAGACAGTCTCTAAGGTTGCACCAACAGTGGACCAAGGAGACTCTACAGTGGTGGTGACCTGCAACAGCTGCATACTAAGTAGACCTGTTAAAAGAAGAGGTAAGAGTACTGGAGCAGCAAGTGTCCACCCTCAAAATAATAAAACAAAGAGTTTTTAGAGATTAGAGAAGCTGTTGCTAAGTGTATGTTTAGAAGCAAGAAGTGCATCAGCAAGCTGAGGCAGCAGAAGAGAAGCCTGAGAGAAGGGAAAATGGGGAAACGCTCTGGAACAGGGCAACAGACACAGAAGACCTAGAAAACACTCTGCACCAGTGGAAGCAGTGGAATGCTAGAACCTCTTCAAGTTACTGGAGTACTAGAAGCTTCTATGGCATAATCATAGGATTGAGGCCACTACTAGAGACCATGGGTCAAAATGCACCAAAAAAAGGAGATTTATTTATTTATTTGGATATTTCTAACCTGTCTAATCATGTGAAAGCTCAGACGAGTCGCGGCTAATGAGTCGCGGCTCGTGACATCATTGCCTGGTGCCTTTCTGAGCATGCACATGGTCCCTATGTGCGCAGTTAACCGATGTTCAGCTGCTGGGGCAATGCTGGGGCAACTTGGCTCGCATGCCAACAGAGAGGGCTCTGCGTGCCCACTGTGGCACACGTGCCGTATGTTTGCCACCACTGCCCTAGTCTGTACTTGTCCTGCTCCTGTGTGCTTTTTGCTTGCTCCAGTTGTTCCTACCCTACCCTGATCCAGCACACTTGTGTTGGGACCATATGATTGTCTTCCTGGCATCAGACCATGGGGCTGTTTCTGGACTGTGAACTCTCTCTATCCCTCTCTCCCCCCCCCCCATACAATATTGGACTGCCTGCTTTCTTGACCCTGAGCCCGGACTGTTGACCACACCACCTGGTTCTAGCCCTACTAAGTGGCAAGACTTTATTTCACATCAGGTCCTGGCACTCTGCTTATCTCAGCTGCTGCCCATATCCAGTCCCTTACATTTTGGTGATAACTTTAGCAGAAAATCAATTGGTGCTGTACAGATGTTTCAGACCATGACACCCATTATTTCTGACCATTGGCCATGCTCCTAGGGTGATATGAACTAAAGTCCAAAATATCTGAAGGTCATCTTTTAAAGTCATGGAAACCAGTTAACATAATAAAATCTCATGATGTCCCAGGGACTGTTGGATTGCTTGCACTTTTGAGATGCAAATATAAGCTTGCCACAAATGTAGCAGAAGTTATCTGTGTTGCTTACACAGTTTCAAGCCATCTTGGCTTCTGAGGGAAAATATCATGCAACTGTTCCTTGGAAATGTTAGGCAATTGTAACTGTGTGATGTGTAGATCTGACCAAGACAAATGTATCTTGCAATAAAAGAACAATAAATTACAGTTAGGTAATAATCTTTAGTCTCAACGTGAAGATAAATTTATACACTTCCACGTGGTACCATTTTCAGTGTTCTACAGTACTTTGTTGAGAAGTTACGAGGCATCATGATCGTCAGACACCTCCCTCCCTTGTAGGCAAATATACTTGCCTGTGTATAAATCTTTATGGTGAAATATCTTGAAGACTTTAGCCAACCAGCACCTTTACCGCCTGTTTTCTAATTCATCTAATCAAAATATGTAAGTATTAGCACATTTTATCTCGGAGGTCAATAATTTCCCAAAATTTGTATACCAGTGCAAACTTGCTCTTTCTCTAATGAGGTTGGAGCCTGGCAAGAACTAATCAGCAGCACTGAAGACTAGTAACTTTTCAAGCATCAGCCTTTCAGTTCATTCATATGCTGAGAAAAGGGCATGAATCAGCAGCCTTG